GGGGCTATGTGTTCTCATATAGCATAGATGTTGGTGTCAAACTTTTTGTGCACACCAGAGTGACTTGGTGTTTTCATTTTTGCCTTTACCCTCTGTGCACTGTGAGAATGTCTGTTTCTGATCAGACATCAAGTGGTAACTTAAGTTTGTTTGCTGCACAAGATCAGATAGTCCTTTGCTATCATTTTTTTAAATCTCTTGGTCATTTCTGTCTTTGGGCCACTGTAACTTTAGGGTGAAGCAATAGGACGTGTCTACAAGAATTATTTTCTGGGCTATGAAAGGAAGATTATCTCCGCTGATTTAGCTGGATCCCATCAGCCACGGACCTGGGAACGGGAAAGTCTTTGTGGTGCCTTGGGGCAAAGGGTGGTGCTTACCAGAATATTGAAATGTTGCTTCCTGTGCCAGATGGAAGCCAGCACATGCTTGTTGGGCACCCAGAGATCAGAAGTGAAGCGGCGTTTTGGATCAGGGTGATTTTCTGGATTATCCACAGGAAAGGAAGACTGAGAGGACCTGCCACGATGCTCTTCCTCTGAGGATTTGGACCTGAGCAGATGACATCAGCTTCAAAAGCAGACATTTCCTTTACTGTGACTTCAGCTCCATCCCCTGGAGTCTTTCGGTTGGACTCATTTCTCTTGAGTGCCAATCTTTCTTAAAGATTTCCTGCCAGCCCTTTTAGGAGACTGACTTTTTCTGCAGTTTCTCTCCCAGGATCCCCAAGGTAGCTTCGGGGGCAGTCGCCCAGTAGCTTAGTGACTTAAATCCTCACAGAGCACTGGGAGTCTTTAAGTAATAAATGCCTTTCTTCCCACAGTGCAAACCTTGCAACGCCTGCCCGAGCCCTCTGAGTTAGCCCAGACAATCAGCCAGTGATGTCATCCAGCTGGCAAGCTCTCAAACTTTCTTCCTCCTCTGTCCTTTCAAAGGACGGTTTTAGAAAAACACCCATCCATCTTCTTCTTCCAGTTTCCAACACAAGCCATTGCCTCTCATCCCAGGTTAAAATGCTATTCCTTACATCACTCCTCTGACTCTTCTCTTTCACTTTTTATATTCATAGCTGGCTTTGAGCTATTACTGATATGTGGTAACTGTTACAAGTTCTTGATTCAGCTGCATGACATTGTAACAGCAGTCATGTAAAAGTTCTGATCGCCTTTCCCTATTTTACACTGGAGGATGTAGACACGTTAGTAAGCTGTAATTTACCAGATGTCACACAGCTAGTAAAATGGCAGAGCCAGGAGTTGAGTCTGTGTCTGTCTAGCTATATGGCTGTCAGCTGTAGGCGGCAAATGAACACAGTTGGAAATCCCTGAACAGTTCCGAACTCTTGGCAGGAGGAAGGTGGGCGTCTGTCCTGCAGAGCTGATGTCAGGCTCAAGAAACGGAGAGTGGGCTTCCTTTGTTTCAGAAGGTGTGCTGCACCTTAGGATTCATCCTAAGGCTCACTCACATGAGCCGTTTCCCCTTTGTTCTTCTAATACCACAGTTCGCCAGCCCCTTCTAGATCCTTCTCATCAGCATGAAACCAGCCTAATTTCTCCCATAGCAGAAAAGCAAGCGAACAAATAAGCTTGCGAAATTACTTTCTCCATTTCCAGCCCTGCCCTAGTCTTCTATCACATTTCCTTGGCTCTTTTACAGCAAGAGTTGGGCTTGCCTTCCATCCTCCCATCCCTGCCCTTCTACCTGTCACCACTAACCTCACGTGACTAATTCCAGGGCAGATCTGCAGTCCTCACCTTGCCTAGCATTACAACAAAACAAACAATCAAAAGAGGCACGGTTAGTCCGTTGTTTTCTTTAAGAAGGATCTTTTCTTAGCTTCCGGAACACAAGTGTGTTATCGTTTCCTGCCTCCCTCAAAAGCCACTTCCTGAAAGGGCCGCTAGAGCTGTGACTGGCAGTGACCAAAGAGTTAGCTTTGACTTGTTTCTCTCTCTCTGCCCCCTTTCCTGGTGGATTCACCCATTCTGAGTGCACTCAGGTCTATGCATTAAAGGTGTTATTGACATTGTCCAAATAATATGAAGGCAGTTAGCAAAAGAAAGAGCAGAGGGCTTGGGTTTAGAAGATTGGAGGCCAGCCCATCTATGCATCCTTGTGTATCCTCAGGCACGTCATCCCACCTTGAGTACCAAATTTAACCTACAGTTGCCGAGCAGCTGATAGTTTCCAGGTAGGCCATACCGGCCACTTCTGTGAGGTGGCAAGAATCCCCCCAATTTAGAGATAAGTCAGCCCTGCCCTTATGTTTGCTTCTCTTCCCGTCTTCTAGGCTCCCTGTGCAAGCGCTTTGAGTACAGATTGTGCATGGCACAGCACTGTCAGATTGCAGCTGGGACTGCTGCTGGCCACAAGGCTGCTAGCCAGAGTTGAACGCATTTCCTTTGCATATCATCCACCTTCTAATACCACCTCACTGGTTGTTTGCTTGTGGTGCTTGCGGCTGAACCCAGAGCCTCCTGCCTCGTAGTCATGGGCTCTACTACTGAGTTTCATCTTGGCCCCAAACAAATACTTTAAAACCTTTTGAGTGGACATCTTATGCAATAAAATGCAAATTGTATGCAAATGAGAGAACCAACCTTCAGAGAAATTGGTGTCTTAATTTTTCATATAAAATGTGATTAAATGCGATTATATTTTTATGGAAGAGGGGTCTAGGAAGATGAAGGTTTCATGCAGGAAGCGTGATTAGCATGCTCCATATACTAAGGCAATGGAGATTTCCTTTTTGGATATTATCAGTAGAACTGGGCACACTGGTGCACAGTTATCGCTGTGGCTATTTTGGGTGTATCTTTTGTGTTGCAAAGGAGACTGATAGTAGTTTCAGGCATTATGTATGAACACAACCCATGTAAGCAGAGCTATTCCATCCCTTCTGTACCTGCCCAGTCTTTACCAGGAACAATGATAGGAAGGCCACATTAGCTGCACTCTTTAGAGCCCAGGGACATTGCTGCACTGGTGGGGATCCTCAAACTCTTTGGCCAGTTGTTTTCCTCTCATGACACTCTCTCTTGGTCATATTTCTTCTTCCTGGTTTACTCCCATGTAGCTAATTAGTATTGTCAAGCATATTCCTATACGTCTTCACCAGCTATTAGAGCACATTGTTTATATGTTTTGACCGCTTTTCACCAGGGCTGTAGATAATTTTCTTGCAGATATATGTTTTTTCACATTTTCTGACAACAAAGTGTTTATTAATTATGGACACTCAAGGCAGTATCTTCCCAGTTTGGGGCTTTTTAAAAAATGCTTTCTTTGTTTGTATTTTTCATGAGGAAGTTTAGCTGGGAGAGACTTGGGGGAGAGGAGGGAGGGAAACTGCAGTCAGGATATAATATATGAGACAAGAATTTAAAAAAGCAATTTAGAATGTGAATTCAATGAAATTTAATACAGCCTTGTCTCTCTTATTTGTCCTTTGTGTATATTGTTTAGTCAACTTTCTCTTTCCTCAACGTAAAGTCAAGAAAAACAGTTTTTCTCATCTGTATTACTATTCCTACTTAGGTATTTAATCCAAGTGAGTTTGTCCTTTGTCTGTGATATGAGTTGAAGGGTAAATGGTATCACTCCCCACATATTTTTTCTGAAACCTTCTCATTGCTGGTCATTTTTTAAAAGAAGATTTATATACATTGGTCCCACGTCATGTCTCTTTGTAACTATACACTGTATCAAGTTTTCTTGTCAGACTATCTTTGGCTCTCCAGCCCCGAACTAACAACACAGAGACTATTATTAATTATGAAAGCTTGGCCCTTAGCTTAGGTTTGTCCCCAACTAGCTCTGATAACTTAAATTAACCTGCATTTATTAATCTAATTCTGCCATGTAGCTTTTACCTTTTCTCAGGACAGCATGTCCGACTTGCTCCAAGTCTGTTGAGGGATTCCACATGCCTAGATTCCTGCTCCTCTTCCTAGCTCTTCCTGAAACCCTGACTAGCCTCTACTGCCTAGCTATTGACCATTCAGATTTTTAGTTCACCAATCAGAGCAACACATCTTCACGCAGTGTGCAAATATCGCACAAGAGCCCACGTTATTTACACACCATGTCTCTTTGTTTTAGAAGTGATTCTGATTTTATGATGACTTATCTCTACTTATGATCTGATTTTCTTAATTATTACTTCTTTATGGAAGAATTTATAGGTAGTAAGCATAGTGTTTCTTGGTGACTATTTTAATTATTTTGAATGTTATTGTCCTTGCCTTTTCATGCAGATCTTAGATTCATCCTTAGAAGTTCTCTTTGAGGTTTTACATGTAGTTTGAATATGAATTGACAAGGTTGACACCTTCATTTTATTGACTGTTCCCATTCAAAGTATCACATGCATCCTAAATTAACAGAGAGACAAACTACTGTACAGGGGAAAGAGTCCTTAACTAGACCAACTCATATTTGAGAAGGTGATTTTTGATAACAGTAAATGGAGAAGACATGGCCTTTCTGATGCAATTATGGGAAAATTCGTGCCATGGGAACAATAGGGTCTTTGCAACATCTCATACCACATACAAAAAAAATCCAAAGTAGGTCATAGCTACAGAAGTTAATAGGTGACATTTAAAATCTCTAGAGAAGAACACAGGAGAAAAAAATTTGATCTTGAAATATGAAAAGACAGAACATCAAAATGTGGTCCACTAGTGAACTATCTGGTAGATTGTATTTCATGTACATGCATGTCAAAGTTTCAAATTGTATGCCCGAAGTATGTACCCTGTTGTCACATGTCACACGCCTCAACAAATGTGCCCGAGAGGGGACAGGAACACAGAACAGGACTTCAAGAATTCCCGTGGCAGCATGTGCCCTGTGAAGGTGTCCTGTCCTTTCCCAACACGAGTGACCTTGCCTAGGGATTTGCTTTTCATATTTCACCCAGTTCTCTCTTGCGGCACGGGGACCATCTTGGATATTTTCTCTTGACCACTCACTCACCTCGTTTATCTTGAATGTAGATTTGCTTGGCGAGCGGCGATCCTGTGGCTGAGGTTTTGTTTCAGGCTGATCTTGCGCCTGTGAGATGGAGCATGAATACAGGGAGATCCTCTTGTTGACCGGCCTGGAGGAAATCACCGAGAAGGAGCTGGAACGGTTCAAGTACTTTGTCTTGCATGAGTTTAGGATCTCTAGGAGCCAACTGAATGAGACTAAAAACAGGACTGAGTTAGCGGACCTGCTGATTCAGAGCTCAGGCCCAGCGTTGGCAGTGACGAAGACCATTTACCTTTTCCGGAAGTTGAATTACATGCACGCCGCAAATTGTCTTCAGGAGCAAAAGAAAAAAGGTGTGTGGAAATGCCCCTCCTTTAATGACACAAGAGCGATAAAGCCCCCGGAGTGTTGCATTAATTTGCTCAATCACCAACCATCGGTCCCTTCGCCTCCTTGCCTGAGAGGCACTGAAAATTGTGTTGCAAATTCCTCAGGCATTTTTGTTGCCAGCACTTAGAGCTGCCACCCCTTGTCTCCAATCTACTTGCAGAAACTGTGCACACGAGATGGCAGTGTTAGCGTTCAAGGTCCCGTTCCATGATACTTAAGGCTTTCATACTTCTCTGAGGGCCTGACAATAATATCAGCACAGCGCAGCCTCGAGCAGACAAGCCAGAGAATCGCCTCACTTGGCCGTAGACTATTCACTTCCGTAATGAGCCAGCCTTCAAAGTCCCAGTCAGTCTTTCTTTAGGAAGCCCATGTGCTTCGAGTCCATGGAGTTTCTACCTTTACACATCTCCAGAATAGATGCCACTATGAATTTCCAGGATACAAAGGACGTGTTTGTATTCGATAAACCGCCACCAAGTCTCCTTCAATTATATGCATTTCGTCCCAATTGCTCCCTAAGAATAACTGGTGAATCCTTTGTATTTAAATAGCTAATAGAGCTGACAAAGGAATGCCTCATCAAGAGGCTCCCTAAAGTGAGAGATTCCAGAAGCAGTCCTTTGGGGACACTAAGTAATACATAAGTTGCAAATTTTTAACAGCTTGCTGAGAAGAAGGGTGTCTCATCACGTGGGTGACATGACTTCTCAAGAGATATTTATATACAGTTTAACTTATGAAGGAAGGTTAAAGTTTCATACAGATACAAGTTGTTAAGTAATTTTGAGGAACTTAGAGCAAGGCTTGATGATGCCAAACACTATTTTCAAAGGGTGCCCTGAAATTAGAAGGAATATGTAGTTCTTCCATTTGACCACAGGGTGACAGTAAGAACACATACTTACTCCAAGCTGATACTTCCTTATCTATTCCAAGTCAACTGAATACGTTTGATAATATCTTTTACCACCCCCTCCATCAATTCATGTTCCTGATTTTTGTTTTCTAGCTAGGATGACATAAAACCCCTTCATTCCCCCCCCCATTTTACTGTGTCTAGTGTTGGTGGGATTCTCTCAGTTTGATTAGCTCTAAATGACCTGCTGGGAGAACTGGTTGAAAACCAGGAGTGACTGACAGCTCCACTTGATGACCTAGAAGTCATTTTAGATCCTATACTCCTTCAAAGCTCTATGTGAAGCCATCTGCAAGCCCGCTTGAAGTGCAGCGCAGGTTTGTCAGTGATGCCTCTGGCCGTCAGGGCAATGTCGATTTCTGGGTTCTTTCCTAGCAGTTCCCACCTAGTGTTTACTCTGGTAAGTGTCCATCACGAAAAATGGAGATATTTGAATTCGTTAAAGAATATCATTAAAGAATGACAGGGTTCTGACTATGAGAAAAGGCTTGAACAGGAAAACTGATTAAAAAAAATTATGAGGGCACATAAGTATGATAAAGCCAAGCAAATCTAGCCAAATTCTTTAAATATAACCATGAGTTAGACAGATGAAAAGTGTGCATCAAATTATGAGTATATAGTGGGAAGGTGACGCCCTGCCAAATGTCTCTGCAGTAACACTATGAACGACATTTAAAAGAGATCAGTGTGGTTGGTGCGGTGGGATCGAATGATGGGTTTATTCCCTTGAGATCCTATGACTCTCCTTTATCCTCTTCTATACTGTCAGTATAGACTGAATGTTTTCATGTGCTTGTTTCTCAGAAAAAGAAAAAAAATGATTTTATAGAGCTAGTCACTGGAAGATCAGCCTAAGTTCTTGTAAGCATTTCTAGCCATTTTGACATCACTCACCTGCCAACATTATTTACAGAGTTTATGCTCCCTAGCAGAAAAATGCAGTTAAAATATTTCAAGAAAATCAAGTAATGCTTTAAGTTAAGTTTATGGTTTTGTTTTGGGATGCATTTGGAGTTGTCCTGGGCTCATGTGACCCACAGATCATAGGTTAGACATGCCCTGGGCTCATGTAATCCATGGATCATAAGTTAGAAAAGTCCTGGGCTCATGTGACCCAAAGAACCTGTGTTAGACATACCCTGAATTCGTGTGATCCACAGACCCTGGGTTAGACGTGCCTGAAAGAGTCTCTGTAACATCCCTGACCAAGACTCAACTACCTTCTTTTGTCTGAAATATAGTGACAGAGTACCTTGTTATGTAACTAGAGAACTCATTCTACTGCTATCTATATTCATTAAATCATTTGATTTCTAGCAAAAGCAAATCCATCAACATCCCGAATGGTTCAGATTCTGTGAGAAACCACATCTAAAAATTTCTTAAGACATGCTTTTTTCATGAGTCCCTTAAGCAATTGAACACTGCCCACCTTGATAGACGGTCACATCAAAATCAGGACAAGAAGTTTCCGTCTCAGAATAAAATAAAACCTAATTCTTGACCTGGGTACCCAGGATCTATCATACAGCTGCCTTATGGGGCATTGCTGAAAAGTGAATACGTCATTCACTTAACAATTTGCTTTTCCATTTACTAATATTCCCTTAATTCTTAATGGTTATCAGCAGCTCCTTTAGGCTCAGGAAATTAGCATGCAGGACTCAGGTCTCTCCTTCCAGCAAGAGAGACCTGGGGCTGACCTCAGGTCATCAGGTTTGGTGGCAAATGCCCTTACCCCCGAGGCATCTTGTTCGCCCACTTCTCCCTCTGTTGAGGGAGTTTTCTAGGTAAAATATTCTTACTTAGTAAACATTTAGTTTCTTCTCCATTGCTTTAAATACAACACCACACTGTTGCCTGGCTTACATGGTTTTTGCGCTGGTTCAGATGAACCGGGGCTCTGGATGGTCCAGACTTTGAGTCTCTTCTTTTCGTATTTTGCTGCACATTTGAGGAAGAGAAAGCAGTAACAATTTTTTTTTTGTCTCTACTCTTCTACTTCTTCATTTCCTCCCCCTCCTCTTCATCCTCCCTTTTCTTTCACCCAGCTGTGCTTTTGCATATGTCAGCCGGAATGGGCTGTGGGGAGCAATTTCTTCTCAGGCTCTCCGACTGGACCAGGCTACTGCTTGTGTCCTGTGCTCAAATAAGGATACATTGCATGGTCCAGTGAGGTCAGATCTTGTTGCAGTCAGGTAGAGCTGCTGGCTAGCATCTGTAATCATCTTTAATTAAGTTTATGTGATGTAGGCCCTAATCGGGCTTCTATTTGTGCATGGCCATGAGTTGGGTTCTGAGACTGGGAAAGGCTGTGGGTGCTGCTCTTGGGCCACTTGGAATGGCAGGGCCAGAGACTATGCTAGACAGCTATGTATAGTCTCAGGCTTTCCTTCCAGTTTGGGCTCACACTGAATTTCAGGCTGCACTAAAAGTCTTCCCAGTCCCATCTCTCCGTGGTCACTAGGGTTGGAGAGTCCAGATGCTGAAGAAATATTGGGGTACAAACTTGCCTTTAACAAAAGGACTTTTTTGTAAAACCCCGGGCTGAGTGGGCGAGTTTCATAATAGGCTGTGGCCAGCAGGATCAAATATTTCCTTTTTAGGTTATTTGTGTGTATGAGATTGCCTGTAATCTTCCGGAAGCCTGGTGCCTTGCTCTGAGGCTGGGCAGGGTCATCACACTCCACGTGTGCAAATGTACACACCCTCACCTAGCAAGTCTGGAGAAACCTTACACAGAGTGCTAAGGCTAAGTGAACAGTTGGCAGTAGCTGTGATGCAAAGCCAACAAATCTGTGTGCATGCATTTTTGTTTTGTCTTGTTTTTGTTTGCTTTTCAAGGCAGGCCTTCTCTGTGTAGCTTTGGAGCCTGCTGTCCTGCAACTAGCTCTTGTAGACCAGACGGGCCTTGAACTCACAGAGATCTGTCTGCCTCTGCCTCCTGAGTGTGGGATTAAAGGCTTGCACCACCACCACTTGGCATGTACATGCCTCTTAAAGTACTATGCCATCTTCTCTTTAATTGCGCAACTCCATAAGGCAGTGTGCATGTACTGGTCACAGTGAGACCCACTTCATTTTGTTTCTTTCTTTTTTTAAAAAATTTATTTTATTTATGTATACAGTATATGCCTGTGTGCCCAAAGAGGGCACCAGATCTCAGAGATGGTTGTGAGTCATGATGTGGTTGCTGGAAATTGAACTCAGGATCTCTGGAAGAGAGCAGCCAGCGCTCTTTACCTCTAAGCCTTCTCTACAGCCCTGTTTTGTTTATTTCTAATTGGCCCCTGTTATTCCAGTCTTGCCAGTGTCCCCAGAGTTCCTCATGAAAATGAGCCTTCTATAAAGAATCCTCTAATGCTGAGAAGTCCACAGGCTCACCCTTTGCTCTCCATCTTCACCATAGTAGGCGTGGGGTTGTGCCATCTTGGAAGGGACATAACATTGTGAAAATGAAACCAGTTCTCTTACCCTCAAGACATTATTGGTTCCATGGTTCTAGAAGATACCATATTTGCATTCTGAAATGTTCCCTAATGTGCCTTGTCTGAGGATAGTCATGAGTTGTATTCTTTGGGGGACTGAAGATGGGAAACTCCTAGTCCATCATCCTGCTCTGTCTCCCTTCTAATTTTGTTCTTGAGAGGTCATGATATTCTAATGTCTCAGCCATGCTTGCTCATGCATTTTAGGTTAACGTACCTCTTTTTGATTCCTCCTCCTCCTCCTCCTTCGTTTTTCCGCCTTTTTTTCTCCCCCTTCTCCTCTTTTTTCTTCTTTTTCAGTTGAGAGTCGATCCATGACAAATAGAAAGAAGAAAGGAACGCAGCAAGTAGAAAAAAGAAGTCAAGCTGAAAACTGTTCTGGTGCCTCTGCCACCAGCAGAGGCGAATCCTCCAAGAAAAACTCTTCTCCAGAAGTCAGTCCTCAAGCTAAGGTAGGCCAGGGCAGCTCCTTGGTCCTCGTGAGGACCCCCTCCCATGACTCTCCCTCTCATCCAGCTCAGGAAGCCTGCTTTTTGGCTTAGAGCATACAAAGCAGGAAAGCAAGGCTAGGATAAGAAAGATCCGTCTGCATTACAAAAAGAAAAGTCAGTCAAATTCATCAATTTATGTAGCCTGAAAGCTTCTAGTTTCTGCCACGCTCTGGGCATAATAACACATTGCTATCTTAGCCTCTACTGGAAGAAAACTCTGCCAGGGACCATTTTTAGTGAGTATGTTTTAGGGTGTGGTTGGCATTTGTCTTGTGAGGGGGTTTAGGAAGTGAGGGAATGGGGGAGAATTTCAAGTTCAGTGGAATTGCAACCAGGAGTTCAGTCTGTTCAGTGAGAGAATTAGGGGCTACGAATGCCCTTCAGGGTTGTCACAATGTGAATGGAAACGACAATCCCTATACTCACTATGTGCTGGCTCTTTTAATGGGGAAGTGGCTCTTTCTAGCAGAGGGAATAAAACTGAAGATAGTCTTTGACCCTTAGTCCTGACAGAGAAGCATGCTGGGAGCCACCACAAAACCCATCAAGCACATGCAGTTTTATTCCCCATGAGGGCATTGTCATCATTTTCCAGAGGGATGAGTTTAGGGTGTGTCCACCATTCTGTCTAGAGCACCCACCCACTTCCTCTATGCTTGGCTCAGAAATTTCCAGAATTGCCAAGAAAACAATACTAAGGTTTAAATGTTGCATTTTAATCAAAGACATGAAAATACATATTGTATAGTCTGGTAGATACAAAGAGAATTCCTAGGCCTGGAAACAAAAAGTTCTGCAATAGTCCTCAGTGAACTTGGCATTTTCCTGCTTTGGACCAGATTGAGTGTGGGATGCTGATCATCAGATGTAGTGTTGGGCTCACATTTCAAGGTCTCCCAGAAACCTAGTTCAAAATCTACTCTTCCGGGCCTTTTTTCCCTAAGTGTCTCTCTTTGCTTACAGGTAGTTAATCATTTGTAAGACAATAGCATTGTTTCTAAAGCATACACAAGCATGAGCAGACACATACCTGCACCTGCAGTTGCACACACACACACACACTGTGTCCTATCCCTCTTATTTTCTTATTTTGGAAGAACAAAATCCAAGATGAGCATACAATCACCATAGTCTGGTTGCAGAGAGGAAAGCCCATTTATCACTGGGAACATCCCTGTAGTGAGTTTATTGTGGGTCCTCAATAAGGAATGCACTTTTGTCCTTTGTTAAATCAATTAAAATGGTTTGTTATATTATCCCCCTGAAGCAGACTTAACATTTTATATGTTGTGTTAAAATATTTTATTTGACAAAATCCTTTTTTGGCATTTAAATGATTTCAGTGATTTATAACTACAAATGTTAAGATGTAACTTTTTGGCAATCCTTAGTATATAGAGTTATATACTATATAAACTCACAAAGGTAGAGCTGATTCTGATTCCCACTCTCCCTTTAATCCATCTGTAGGCGCTCCTCCCAGATCTCTTCGTTTACTCGCACTTAATGGTCTGTGTTTTATTGTGCACAGGATATTCCTGGGGATGTGGAGTGCTCTGTGCGCATCAGTGAACCTTCCCACCCTTACACGAGGGTCCCATACATGCTCAGAACACTGTAATAGAATCACAAGAAGACAAGATCAGATTAAGCGCCAGCAATGATTCAGGTTTCTGACACACTCTTTTCCTAAATTACATGACAAGGAAGGAATCTGACTGAGGAATTCTGTCTCCAGGGTCAGCTCCATGGCCCCACCTAAATACAGAAAATGAAGTATCCATTTTGTATTTTTTCAGTCTAGATAATTCCAAGTCTCCAATCTTTTCCTCACTTCTCCATCTCCCTTTCAACTCAGCCTTTTCTGGCTTCCTGGGGTTTGTCTGAATGAAGGCTGCCTCTGTTACAGTGTTGACCCATAACTAACATCTCTTCTCTGTGGTCACAGCCTCAGAAGCAGCAGATCGTGGCAGAGCAGGAAGCTATCAGAGAAGGTTTACAGAAAGATCCACTGGCAGTCTTGGTGTTGAAAACAACGAATCCTTTCAAGTGTGAGACTGAGGAAGACATATTCCATGCAACAGTGGCCAACTTGACCGCATTTTTCTTCGTAAAAGTTCTATATGCACCATTTAAAGATAAATTTATCCCAAGGAGAACAATTAAAATATCAAACTATCTTTGGCACAGTAACTTCTTGGAGGTGACCAGCTCCTCAACTGTGGTTGATGCTGACGCTGACCACAAAGTCTGTGTCCCAAATAGCATTAGGCTAAAAGCTGGAAGAACTCCCACAATTAAGATGCTGAAGACCCAGCCTTGTGGAACAATTGTGAATGGGACGTTTAAAGTCCAGAAGGTGAGTTCCTGTATGCAAGTTTATACTGATTGGTATGAAAAATATAACACCTATCCTAAGCTTTGACAGAACTCTAGAAATTATGTTTTAATTTTTTCTCTCTATATAGCAACAGGACAATTGAAATCAATTAAATAATTGGTTTTAAACAATTTTAACAATCAAAAAACAATTTAATAAAGTTAAAGATTTGTAGGATAATAATTGGCCAAAACTTGTGTGCAAAGCTCACAAAAGTTTTATGCTGTGTGTACTTTGTTTGCTTCGTCTTTTGAGACAGGGTCTTTTACTGTGTAGCTTTAATTGGTCTGGCATGCTCTAAGATTCCTCTGCCTCTGCCTGCTGATCCATGTGCATGCCACTGCCCCCAGCAAATGTTTTTTTTTTTTAATTTTTATTTATTTATTTATTAAAGATTTCTGTCTCTTCCCCACCGCCGCCTCCCCTTTCCCTCCCCCTCCCCCAATCAAGTTTCCAACTGGCCTGGGTCTAAAAAAGCCCGGGTTAAAACCGGTCTCGCTGAACATAGTGGACAATGAGGATTACTGAGACCTCAAGAACAATGGCAATGGGTTTTTGATCCTACTGTACCTATTGGTTTCGTAGGAGCCTAGGCAGTTTCGTGGATGCTCACCTTACTAGACCTGGATGGAGGTGGGTGGCCCTTGGACTTCCCAGCAAATGTTTTGAAGCCACTTTTATTTACGTTGTTACCCTTGTAACCTGTGAAACATAGACACGGCTATTTCCCCCTGTGTTGATTTTACACACTTATTACCATCCACTTTCAAAGTCACTTTTACTTTGAGCATCCTTCAGATGTGTGCTCATTGATGAACGAGGGGACTGATGAGCCAGCCCTGGAAGACCTAGTATTGAATGAAGAGAATGGAAGAGTTAGCAGAGAATCCTAGCTAGATGCTGGGTATCTTTGTTGGAGTTTCCATTGCTGAGAAGAGACTCCATGACCCCAGCAACTTTATAAAGGAAAACATTTAGGTGGGACTGGCTTACAGGTTCAGAGTTTTCGTCCTTTATTCTCATGGCAGGAAGCATGGCTGCATGCAGGCAGACATGGTGCGGGAGAAGTAGCCGAGAGTTCTACATCTAGACCCACAGACAGTAGAAAGAGAGAGTGAGCCACTGGCTTGAGTTCCTGAAACCTCAAAGCCCACCCTTAGGGACACATTTCCTCCTGTAAGATCACACCTACTCCAACAAGGCTTAATTTTTTCATATAATGCTTTTCCCGATAAACCCATGGCTGCCTTTTCTATTCAAGCTACCACATGGGAATCAGGGACACTATCTTTGCGTGAACAATTTTCTGGCCTAAGACAGATCCTGAAGGACCATAGGGAATGTTGATGATTTCTTCCCCTAGTAGCCAGATGACCTCAAGTTCTGTCAGAAAAGGTAGCAGGAGTAAATTGTCTTCCTTGGAAAAGTAAAGCATAAAAACACCCATTGTTAGCTTCTCAGTTTTGAACTTTCTATTTGGCCAACTACTCACTAATGTCTATTCACATGGTCAATAAAACTAACTCTCAAATACTGTACATATTTGACGTATCTAACTAGTATCTGGTCCCATTCTAATCCAGATTTGATTGTGAATGATATGTTGTCCTTGATATTCTGACTTTTAGACTTCTTCACTAGATCTTTTATTGTTAGTTTGTGTGTCTCTCTGGATTTATGTCACTAAGTGACCTTCCTCCTAACCACAAGGTCTTCTTTTCTCTTCTTTTTCTTTCCTTTCTTTTCCTTCCTTTCCGTTCCCTTCCCTTTCCTTCCCTTCCCTTCATTTCCTTCCCCCTTTCTTTTCCTTCTCTTCCTTTCCTATCCTCCTGTACACTGGCCCTGGAGCAGCCCCGTTTTCCCCATCTATTAGTTGTTTCTTTGTGCCATCCTGGCTTCCCAGAAGAAAAAAGGCTTGGGACTAGAAAAATGGACAGAAGAAAGATGGACAGAAGGGACATGCTTTAGTAAGATTCTCCCACCTCCTCCATTGACATTTGCTAATACCGGTTAGGTCGAAGCCTGTTAGTTTGGAAGCTGGAATTCCTCCTTATATTTCTTTTGGAAAGCTGCTCCTGTCTTGTCTGATGATTGATTTACATGCCGCTCTTCCTTAGTCATCTCAGTGGAGCTTGCTTGTTGTTTCCTTTCACAGATAACAGAGCAGCAAAAGGACAGAACACTGTATGGTGTACAAGACAAAACAGGGGAGATGGACGTGTTGGTGCTTGGAAACCAGGACAAAATAAAATGCGAGAAAGGAGATAAGCTTAGACTTGTATTTTTTGAGGTGTCAGAAGATGGAGAGAAAACACAGTTGAAATCAGGACCCCACAGCTTCTTTAAGGTATGGAAGAATGTCAGTACTCAAAAGACTACATTATTTTGTGTTTTATGTCAGAAAGCAGAAAAGAGGCTGATGAACAGGATATGGCAGAGAAGAGCCCATATGTAGCGTGTTTTTATCTCACAGAACTGAGGAGCCTGGCTTTAGAAAATTATTCTTATCCTAGATGCCCAGCTATAAACCCATGGGTGTCACAAAGACACCCATACACTCTCTCTCTCTCCTCTCTCTCTCTCTCTCTCTCTCTCTCTCTCTCTCTCTCTCTTTCTCTCTATCTCTCTCCCTCTCTCTCTGAACTCCACAGTGAGTTTTTGGACTACAGTTTAAGTCTAATGAAAGCAACCTGCCTGAAGTTGCACAAATCATTCTGACAAATGCAGTTGTAAGTCAAGACAGACTTTAAAAACCTTGAAAACAAATCTTTGAGCAAGTCCAACCTGCTGCTCACTACACCCCTGTCTGCACTCTGTGTGCTAGAATCCAGTTAGCAAGCTTCTAGAAAGGGGCTGGAGGCTGAGGAAACACACACAGAAACAGACAGACCCCCCAATCACTGGTACAAAGCCCCTCTTTTATAGCACCATGGAGGCTTAAATACCCTGCAGTCAATGGCCAACAGGTGAAAATCCCATTCTCTGATCCTCTAGGCAAAGCACAGCTTTTAGTGACTTCAATTAGAAGGCTCTAGCAGGGAAGGGCAGCTGAAGGCCAGGACTCAATTAGTCCCAAAACAAACCCTTCACGTATTTATCATAGTCCAGGGCAGTTAAGTAAGTCATCACAGCACCCTTCTCCTTATCTGATTGTCACAGCTTTGCTCTCTTCCCCACTACCCATCAGTGTTTATATAAGCCCTGTCTCTGTGTAAGTTTGAGATAGAGACCTGAGAAACCTTTGTGTATGTCCTTATTATGTAGGCATGTATTTATTTGGAGCAGATAGAATTCAAGAAAGTCATCCAAGAGTGAAGGGATTAAGGGAGGGACATGGGAATGGGGAGGATATGTGATATGAAGGGAGGCACACTACAGAAGAATGCAGTAGCTGGAAGTAGAAGAGAGTTAAGTGATCAATAACATCTCAGTCTTCATCTTTCTTCTCCACCCAGCTTATTAAGACCTCGAAGCCAAAAACTGAGCAAAAAGAAAAATGTACATTGAAGTCAACTCATCTAAACAACACTTCTTTGAAGGATTCTAATACTACTTCTTGAACCAGACTGAGCTACCTGAGGACAGACGTTTACAAGCTCTTCATCCTATCCTATTAGTTCAAAAAGAAGTCAGGACCACGAGGGGTGCACCCACCCACTGAGATAGTGGGGCTGATCTATTGGGAGCTCACCAAGGCCAGCTGGACTAGGACTGAAAAACATGGGATAAAAGTGGACTCTGAACATGGTGGACAATGAAGGCTGATAAGAAGCCAAGGACAGTGGCACTGGGTTTTGATCCTACTGCATGAACTGGCTTTGTGGAAGCCTAGCCTATTTGGATGCTCACCTTCCTAGACTTGGATGGGGGGGGGGGCTTGGACTTCCCACAAGGCAGGGAACCTTGACTGTTCTTCAGACTGGAGAGGGAGGAGGAAAGGAGTGGGGGGAGGGGAAGAGGAGTAGGGGAGGGGGAGAAGAGTGGAGGAAGGGGAGGGGAATGGGAGGCCGGGAGGAGGCAGAAAGGGAAATGGGGAGGAGGCAGAAATTTTTTTTCAACAACTAAAAAAAAAAAATAAACAAACAACAAAAAGTGCTCTTCCATCATTAAAAAAAAAGGATAAATACTTTACAATTCCTCTGTTAGCTGTAGAGCAAAACAAAACAAAAATCTAGTAAAACATCCAATATCAGGCATGAGAAACCCCCTTTTGAGTAGTTGATTGTCTAGGAGACTCCCAAAACATTATGGGCTATTGCTCTTGCCCTTGGTTGATCCCCAGAGGTGAAGATAAGTTCATATTGCTGAAGATACCATGCACTTCAGACACAGGGTTCAGAGGTCCCTGAGCTGTAACTGACCTGAGAGTCTTCTCCCCAACGATTATCTTTCACAAAACCAGAAGGTGCAATACAGACTTCCCAAAGAGGGAGGTAACCATCAGTATGACCCAGTTATGATGCCTAAGAATCATAAAGATGAGCACCATGGCACAATAATCCTAAGGGTGAATTAGTGTCACAAATGCCTTAGTAGTAACCAACAGTTCTTTAATTGGACTTAATACCCCCTCAACAAGAAAGAAATCATTCCTGGTATTAGAAATCTAGCCAACTACTCTGGATTAGTGAAGTCATGAATTGTAGAGGAAGCATATTGGTTTAGAACCACTTCACTAAACCAGCATTATCCCTAACTACACTCTAAGTATTTGTCCTTATACACTTAGATAAGTGTAGTCCTTCTCCCTCATGAAGAAGATTTCTCCTTGCAATGGATGGAGGCTATTACAAAAAAATCACAGCCATCAAAATGTAGAGTTGTGACTCCCAGTCCCAGTGGATAACTCTACAATAGAACTCTAGCATTTAAGGTTCAGGGAACATCATGGAAGAGGGGGTGGAAAGGTTGCTGGTGGTGGTCATGTCAGAGGAGCAGCAGTTGGCAATTAAGCTTCAGTTCAGTTCACCACAATGCAAGGCACAGATGGGTGAATTTTGGATAGGCAAGGCTCCAATGATTTCGGGTCCATAATGTCTCTTGATAGTTCTGTGCTGCCATTGTTCTTTGGTCTCTGTCATGGTGAGAATGGGCATGGGGGGGGGGGAAATCCCCACTGTCTTTAATGTAGTGTGATTATTTCATGGAAATAATCTATTATACTGGACATTTTTAACCTGTGGATTTTTATCAAGATGGTTTCTTCTTAAGCTTCATTTAAGAAATTAAGTAATTAACTGAAGTATTTTACACAATAATAGTGTTAGTTTAAATAGAATTTTGATGATTAAGGGTTTCTAACAAATATAGTAATGGATTATATAGCTATATAGATTGTATAGATAGAGGTGAGTTTAGTGGGAAAATTAGTAAAGGTAAAAGTAGGATATAGTGTTGGCCCGGGGCATCAGAGGATAGAAAATAGGAGTGAGCAAGTGTCACACAGCTAGGACATAGCAGTTTCTCTTGAGGACTCACAGAGACTGGTTTAGGTTAAAGACTAAGGAAAACAACTGAGTCCCAGAAATTAAGCTAGCTCAAGGGTTTTTAATCTTGATGCTGAGAAATATGTACATGGGCTCAGTGTGCATCACAGCTAAAACAAGCTTTAAATAATAACTTCATGTAACTAAAAAGCAAAGAGTTGCATGGTCCATTAAGGTCATTGTACAATACTCTAAAATAGGAATAATGAAAGAAATAGCCTGTTTTTCTGGCAATAATAAAAAGTACTGCCGGGCGATGGTGGCGCACGCCTTTAATCCCAGCACTCGGGAGGCAGAGGCAGGCGGATATCTGTGAGTTCGAGACCAGCCTGGTCTACAGAGCTAGTGCCAGGACAGGCTCCAAAGCCACAGAGAAACCCTGTCTCAAAATAA